ATAAATCATACCGTTAAATATTCCGATCTGAATTTTCCCAATAAAATAAAAATTCCGAATTCTCCCAGATTTTGAAATTCAATCAATTCTTTCCGTGAATTGACAGACATTTCTTGGAGAATATATAAAAGGAATGATAAGAGACTCTACTTAACATTTTCAGGTTAATAATAATAATTGCGCAATGGGGTGGGTCTATTAGTATTTTTTTTTTTCAAGCAGCACTTCACTTTCCCATATTTAATCTAAAATATTGATTTAATAACCGGTATAAATTGCTCATGATGAAACAGAGCAGGTCAATATAAAAGCTTTTCGCTCTTTTGAATTGAATGAATAACAGACAACTCTATAACATCAAATTCAACAAACATCTAATACCCAGTAATTTGAAGAATTTCACGATTTCATCAAAAACATCATGTGACCCCATCTCTTTTAAACCCTGATGATGACGATAATCATCATAATGAATCCCACGAGATTCCCACAATTTGCAAACAAATAAAAAAATAAAATCGATGATTGCCTGTGTCAAGCGTCACATTGTCACGTTTTATCGTTCCAGATAGTGTGAGAACCCCCAGTAACAAATCAGGAATAGTCGACGTATCGATAATGGTTTAATGGGGTAAATGATTTCACGTGCAGTCAGCAAAATGACTGGCACCGAACGACATTCAAACCCACACACATTGTTGAAAATCACGAGGCATTTATCCTGAGAGAATAGCCAATTTTTATCATTTCCAACATTATAACTAAGATCATCCGTGTCCCTGGGTCCAGGGGCCTTATTCAACTCGTTATACGTATGGAAGTTGCCCGAGTAACTTTATACGATGCCGCGCGTGCATTTATCGTTATCTTAACGAGAATCGGCAATTTTCTGGCCGACTTAGTCGCACGAGCTAACTTCTTTTGGTATCACGACGCACTGGGTGAACATATCCACGGATTCTGTTGGGCCGTAGCATCGGTAAATCTTTAAATTGTGAGAACAGATCGGCACTGAGAGCCCGCATTTTCGATGCTCAATAAATGGTATTGTCCTTAAATATGTTATTTAACGTGGAGTTAATGATGTGCACTACCTGTGATGCGATGTACCTCGGGAATATGGCATGCACTAGGTGATTAGACAGCGGCAACGAGACGTGGTGCTGTGGGCGTGACCGAGGGAGGTCCAGAATTAATTTATTAACCGAGTGGCAATTATCCGTTACTCAATACCAGTTCATTGGCATTGGCTATTTTTAATGTTTGTGGTGGTTGTTTATTCGGGAGAGATCGGCATTTTATATCGGTGCTCATCGGTATTGCGCCATTTTCATTGATCGTGCCTTCTAAATCCCTTCGGGCTATCACGTGGTGATCCACCTATTCACTACTGGTATTCAATAATCGGTTAATAATCCGTTAATTACGGATCTGTGGTCCATTGAGCTACGCTGGGTTAAGTCGTGGTCAGGTGATCATTAAGTTTTGATGGGGATTATCCATTAATTTTCTGGTGGACAGGGTGATTTAATTAATCGGTGGATCTCGCGTTTGGGGTTATTATTAATTGATATGCTTCGATGAATTTAGCGCACGCGTGATGATTTAATTTTAGGAGTTTTTAGCGGAAATTTGAGGTGGAGTGAGTCAGAAATGGAATTTTTAATTGATTACACGCGGGTTATTTCAGATTTTTAAATTTTTTTGTGGGTAGATATGAAGTCGCGTGGCTCTTACTGGAGAGGATGTGCACAAGCCACTTAACGTCCCTGACAAGAAGAAAAGACAGCAATTTTCACCAGAGGGGGTCGACTTATTCGACTCCCAGATAGGGAAATCGCGGCCTGTCAACGTTTAAGCGTGAGATACTCCTCTGGAGGACGTGGCCTCGGCCCCGGGCGACTCTCCATCGAGATTACTTCCCACAAGTAATACTTGTCCCAGTGAATAATATCAACTATCTTTCTTCAAAATCATGTTTGCCAATTTTTTTTTTTTCTTTTCATTTCATCCATCGCTTATTCCTTCATTTTGCAGATAATGGGTGAAACATTTTGTGATGCAGTCACGTGCCTCCAGGAGGTACCAACAGACGGCGTTTTGATAATGAAAGGATTATAAAAAATTGTGGCTTTCTAAAAGCTATAATTAAAATTGTAATTATATTCATTTATCATTGTGAAATGAGTAATTAAATTATTTTCAGCGCGGGGTGGGGAAAAATGGCGAGAACTATCTGACCGGATGAGAAATGTTTTAAATTGTTGGGTTGCATACTGACAGGAGAGAGAAAAAAATTGTAATTTTTACGAATCTGGTAATGGAGGGATTCAATGCAGTTTTTAGAATATGAATTATAATTATCGATTTTTTAAATCGGCGTTATGGATTTCTGAATGGACTTTTTGTTTATCCTGTCTGTTTTTGCGTTGGGAAAAAGTTTTTTGAATTGGCCTGAGGCGTGCGCCGGAGTGCGAGAGATGAACATTGGGGATCTTCTTGAAGAGATGGGTAGATCTGTGAGAAGTCGGCAACACCAGGCCACTATCTCTCTACCGAATCGCCCAAGGAATAGAGTTACGTCGTCGTTCATCCTTCCAAGTTGGGGTCTTATGTGTGTCTGGATACTTTTCACATCTCGTAAATTTATCTTTGACAGCCCCTCCACACTCGGGCATCGGGCATTTTAACAACAGGAAGATGATGGTGGGTATTGGGTGGGGGTAGAAGAAGCTGGGGATCAGATACCGGGGACTGACACTGATGAAAAGGATAAATAACGTACGGTTGTTTGCTGGCGGCACTTTTGCACGGGGAAACTCCACGCTCGGCCGTGAGATACTTGCAAGATTCTGTATTACCAATTTCCAGGCGAAAAAATAAATTGTTGCGTAAAGCCAGAGGAGAGGTTTTACCATCAGAGAAATAAATTAACAACAAAATTTACCTTGACATTCAGTAATCGTGTGATGGAAATCCAGATAAAATTCATTTTTTCAATAATTTTTCGTAGAATTTTCCCGGAGAAAATTGTCACTATTGCATTTAATTTTTAAGTTAATTTAACGTTTAATTGAAGATTTCAATGAGTTAGAGAATTGAATGAAAAATCAATGGCACGGATAGGGTTGAATGATCGCAGGTGATTGCGACAGGGATGACAAATTACCCGGCAATTAAATCGGATAACGAGAACCGATGAACGCACTGACGTTCGGTTATAAAGTTCCAGCCGTAAATAGCAGTTTAGCTCGAGTTAATTGTCGTACTGGAGGTAGCTCACTATAATGTACCCCAGGTGTGATGTTTCACACACGTGAGATAACGATATTAATGGCAATGCGAGGAGATCCTCGAGTTAAGTCCATATGCCTGAGTGTGCCAAGGATACCCGTTGGCTTGAGCTATTACAAACGGGAAATGCGCCTCTTGTCGCATTACCAACTTAATCAATCTTCTGGCAACACTAGCCACCATGACCCGGTCATTCATGTCATTCAACTCATTCAACTCATTCAACTCATTCAACTCTTCTCCAAACAGTAGCTCAAATCATCCCTTTATTAGTTCTGCTCATGAAGATGCATCAATTACACTCGACTTTTCAAGTAATTAGGTTTTGGGACAATAAAAAAGGATTAGATAAATTTTAATTGATAATTTAAAGGGAATTAAATGTTTATTGAGGTGAAATAGAGTTTTTTTAATTTGATAAATCGCCTCTGCTGTGAGCGTTAAATAAAGAGATAATCGACAGAGAGAAAAAATTCAGTAAAAAGTTCAATAAAAATCGTGTGAAAGTTCCGTAATTCGCAATTGAGAATGAAGATCCGATAAAAATGAATATTTTTACTGAATGTTTCGTCATTTTTATCAAACCTTTATTCGCACTTGCGAATTACAGAACTTTCACATGATTTTTATTGAACTCTTCCGCTTCGTGGTAAATTGGTAAATTCTCAATAATCAATTAATTAATTAATTGCCAATAATTATTCGAGTGGCAGGCAGAGCTTTTCATCCCCCGATTAAAATGGCTTCCGATTTTCAAAGAGAAAAATCGACTTTTTATTGAATTATTGAAGTTTTTAAAAATTTTTTCGATGGAAATAAAATTCTTGTTCAATAGGGATTCCCCGAATTCGAGTGCAGAGTAAAAAATTTCCACATTGACACTACAAACGATTATTTGAATAGAAAGTATGACGCTTGTATACGCGGGGGTAATTTATAACAGAGTCGATAAGGAGATGTTAAAGTAACGAGGTTAATTACAGAGTTTCACGATTCGTCGGAGTTTGTTGTCGAGCTCAACGCAGTACTCGAGTTACAGTTGGTATTATTAGTAATTAATATTATCCATCGCTTCGAAAATGGGGTGGGGCCTGGGGGGGAAATGCACAGAGGGGGTGCCGTTGGGTTGAAAATTCGTGTTAACGAGTGAGAATTTGTCTGGAGGATATGGGTGTGGGTGGATGAATCAAGAGATGAAACCGAGTGTTGACTCTCGGCTTGATAAGGTGTTTTCTACGTAGGTGCGGAATTAGTGTCCCACCACGAATTAACACCACGTGTTCACCACGAAAAAGTGGTACAAAGACATAAAAAATAATGTCAAACATTAACTTCCTCGTGTAACTATCCAATTGGGAAATAATGTCAACAATAAATCCTCGAAAATTACCAGACAAACTTCTCTCCATCGCCATTTTATTGTAAATTATGGGAATAATATGGATAATAGGGTAATTACCGGCTTTTTGAATAATTCTCGTCATTTCTATTTTTAGGATTAATCCGTTATCAGACAGTAAATCAGGATTGAAATGGGAGATAAAAATATTTAACAGAAAATTGATTAATTAAACTCGAATGAAGGAACATTAATAAAGTGAATAAAAAAGGATAAAAAGGAAAAAATGATGATAGTAGAATGGAATAGAATGGAAAAAATTGTTGATAGAGTAGGGGATGAGAAAAATAAAATAATAGTGACTTACCGAGGCACGTGATGGCATGATCAGCCGGTGGTCTGAGTACATTACGCGACCATGCAGCTCTCAGTACTTCAAGTGCGCACGGTGGACCCCCCACCATCAAAACACCCGGTGACACATGTCCCTTGTACCTTAATTGCCTCGTAGCATCCACCAATGCCGCATTCCACCAGCACTTGGAATTAGCCTCCAAGAAGCTCTGCAACAATATCAAATATCACAATTAGTGGAATAAACATTTTAAAAAATTCATATACCAGTTTAATTCCCGCTCATTTTCAATTCAGCCAGAAATTCATTAATTTTTCATCAGTTGCATTTATCATTTTGTAAGGTGAAAGTGACGAATGTACTTTCCCCTGTGAGACGGTGATTTCATGGGTCTTGGGGAGTTGCACCGATTTAACCGATGAAATACTACGGTGGGATAAATGTTTACCGCTTGTGGAGGACATTCTCTTCACCCTCTGAATTTTTTTTTTGGGGATTTCTTTCTGGGGACTAACCCTCGGATGCTCTTCGCGTTTATTCCGCTCGGTTATTACCGCTCAGGGTGGAAATAGTCAAACGATTGGATGGAAAATGGAGATAGCAGAGTTTTTACCGGGGAATGCCCGTTTTATGGGCCATCCCATCTGGATCCCCGTCGCCGATTGTCGTTTAAAATGTTGAAGGGAAGAAAAAGAAAATTTTGAATTAAAAATGAAAAATTACTCCACCGAAATGGAATTTCTCTGAGGATATCCACCGCTGCTGAAAAATTTTCCGGAACTTTCTGTTTTATTTATTATATTAATTTTATAAGATAATGAAGCTTTCAGGGTCGACACGAAAATTTAATATCAAATATAATCCAATTATCAATAGCTTGCGCAAAAATTTCGTGGGAATTTCTCGTGAATAATTTTTCGGGAGTTTTATTTGACTCGAAATTTTTCAGTTGAGTCTATTGTTTAGGATTTTTTTCTAAAGATAATTTATTAGAAAATGTGGGTACGCAGAGCCGATGGCAATTCACCCACCCGTTCCCATGTGAAAATCATTCGTCTCAAACGCACAACTGTACGATATATCGATATATCCACCAATTGCCTCCCGTGTGCACGTTGAATATACAAATTAACCCTATTATTCCAGTACAACCTCAGTTGTAGGCAATTCTCTCCTCTCGTTGGACCATAAATTTTCATCACAACGTGTACCAAGCGTGTATCCTTAACACTAGTATTTTCCATTTGATAAATTAGTCCGGGGCTTTGGTATTACCCCAGTGGGGAAAGCCGGTGATTATCGTGTTGTAATTTAAGATAGTCAAGTCATTTCAGTGTCGCTGGATTATCGAAAAAATTTATCCAACGGCAACATTGATTCTGGATTATTGCAAAAAAAAAAATATTCTCACCAAGTAAATATAATTAAAA